AAGTGGATTTATCTTCACTCTCTCCTCTCAAACTGTCTGCTGCGAGCCATGTAGGTGCCACCCCCACTTGTATCCATGTGTGTGCACCCAGAGCTCTATACTACTTCATATTTATACAGAGACCGGACAGAAAAGGAGATTGCTCTGAGAAAAGTAAGAGACAAAAGAAGACTACCTGGTTTGAAAATATATGTCTGTTACTTGATTCTAGCTATCACTTTTACTTTACTACGAACTAAATTTAGCGTAGCCCAACAAAACTCTGTTTAGAAAACAAGCATTTTAAAAGTTGCTTGCTCGTCGTCTTGCGCACAAATCAGACAAAGCATGAATTCAGACCTTTTACAAATCGCCATCATGACTAGTTATTTGATCTGTTTATTGACATTAAATCACAGCAAAATCTGTTTATTTTAGGCTTATACCACCGTTGTAAATCAGAGAAAAGGGCCAACATTCACTTCGCTTTTGGTGGGAACACACAATTAAAAGTAATCACAAACCCCCGTCACTGTTGCGTGACAGACCGAGCTCTAGTATAACCATGTGACTCTGCCCCATGCTAGTAAGAAGTCTGCAGTTCGTGCCTTCGGGCAAAGCAAACTGCTTTTTGAAGTCTCAGTTACATCTCACATTTATTCTTGCTGGAAGGTTGGCGAGGTTTGGACCACAGTGGAGGAGAATTTAATACGATAAGACAGCATCAGTGTGCTGTGCCTAAGGGCAGGAGGAGAGAGGGCTGCTTTGTCACAACAACAATTAAAACAGACTTTTTCAACTTCAACTGTTGTGATTGTATTATTGTTAATTTATTCATTTGATACTGGTGTTCACACACAGCTAAACTGTGTTTTCAAAGTCACCTGGCTCAGCATGAATACGTTTATTCTGGTTATCTCAAAGCACTAAAGTCAGAAAAATCAACTGAGATAAAATAGTGGCAGTTTGTAAAAGATCATGTGTTAAACTTCCTTTAAAACTTTTAAAAAACTGCCTGAAACTATCTAAAACATAACTGTCAGAAACTTTAACTGTCACCATCCTGAAATCATCACTACACTGAAGAGGGTACGGCTATTTCTGTGGTCCAGGATCTGAGAGGGCAGAGTCCCCAACTATATTAAATACCTTATTCTCACCCAGTCTGGCCAACAGAGCTGCAATAAAAGTCTGTCTGGAAGCAGGTCAACATGACTCAGACGCCATCAGCGTAAGTAAGAGGTCGCCAGGCCTAAAGGCTTATGTCAGCGAAGCTTTATTGTCTTATTCTCGAGTTCAGAAGGTGACAATAGGACCAACGTGTGGGGGCAGAGGAGCCAATGAGATGAAGTCTGGAGGTGCTCTGTCTTGCCAAAAACGGAAAGTAGCAAATGTTCCAAAGGTTCTTCAAGGAGAACATCCATAAAACCCATCTATATTTAAGTTTTATTTCACAATAAACCTGAGAATGAATGTGATAAAGTAAGTATATTGGTCTTACCAGGCAACTTCCATTAGCGATATAGGCACAGCTGCTGCGTAGATGGCCAGGTCTCCGTACAGGTAGACTATGATGCAGATGTAGAACATATTGACGCCAACTGAAAAACAAAAATTTAAATATTAACATATGAATGACTGAAGAGATGTGAGCAAAGTCTGTCTGGCAGCAAACATTACCATCAAAGAAATGATATACATACATACATATATATGTTAGGGCCATGGAGAGAGTGGCGGTGGTGCTGCTTTCTTTTTCATTTTCACAACTGAATATTTGTTTTGTTTTGCACTTCGATTATAAAATCAGAGTTAGAATATTCGTTGTCAGCCCTTGTAGCCTCCACTATTGAGCAAAATATAGAGGAAAGGACGCCAAGTCAGGGAGTAACGCAAAATGCACATATTAGTTGAAGAGAAAATAAGGGCCACAGGTTGCCCCTGGTCTATGTGAAGAAAAACAACCGATTCTTAAAGTAGCATGAGGTCAGGAGGTGACAAGTAAACACATTTTTCATCTTTATCAGCTGTCTGAACACTTCATAATGAAATATAGTTGATGGATGTGTGTCAAACGTGACCATTATGGTGCCATCTCAATTAAAATGCACTCTCAACCAGACCTCCGCTCATTTCATCTCTCCATCCCTTTTCTGGGACAGTAGAGCCGCATCTTATTGGTCCAATAAAAAAATATTAATAGCGTTAATTAAAAAAAACTAATCACACCATGAAGGAAATTCTCCCCGTCAGCCTTTACTCTCCACAGCGACCACCTCTTAACCATCTGCCCTTTTCTTTTCATCCACACAACCGACTGGCAGGCCCGACCCCGCTGCCTTTGCCAAGACAAGATCGAGAGCTTTAACCAGCAGACAGATCCTCTCAGCGCGCCCCACATCCATCACGCTCTTGAATTCTCAGAAGGGGGTTCAACCGTCCAACTGGACCCCTCAGCTAATTCATTACTGACAAGGAAATTAGAGCACCGAGTCCATTAAAAAGAAATAAAAAGTGACAGATTTACAGCATCACAGGCTACACTGATTCTTTTATGAATTAAAGGCTGATGGCGCCGATCAATGCCGTGATAGAAGTGAAAAACATAAGGAACTGGCAGCCTGATAAACAACCATTTATCTAGTTGTAAAAAGCAGTTAAATGATTCCGAACACTATCAGAAACTAAGATTAGAGACTGGACAGAGTCATATCAAAAATGCATTGTTTTCATTTGGTCTAAAAATATGAGACATCAATACATTTTTAAAAATGTGCCCATTATAGAGCCTAATGTTATGTCTTCAGACTGACTAACAGTCCAAAACCCAAAGAAGGTTCAAGTTACAAAAGCAGGAAATGCTCACATTTAAGTAGTTGGAATTGGAGAGTTTGGATATTTTAGGTTTTAAAATGACTTAAAGGATCAATATCTGGGATTTAGTGGCATCTAACTGTGTAATTGCAGACTGCAACCATTGCATACTCTAAATTAAATTGATTGTCATCACAATGGACATCAACAGTCGCACCAGATTTCTCCCACAAATATATTTGTAACCAGAGAAGTTCAGAAAGTTAACGTTGTTAACATCATTGGTGTAACGTTAACAGACTACCCGTCTGTTTGGTTCCTTCACTCAGCCATAAGATATGTAGATAAGCTCAGGTTGCAGTATAATAGTCAGTGTTTTACTATTACACATGTTTTTGGATTAATATTATTGCTGCATTAATATTGCATTTCACTCCTATATCAAGGTTGAGCTTCTGTAATTTTGGTCTTGGTGCCCTACATTTCGGTCGCGGAGCCCCAATAAATTTGTATTTATCAAAAGACCAAAGTGGCCTTGCCCTGAAAATGACTTAATTCCAGGCAATGTCCTACTGTAGAAACATGGCGGTTCAACATTGCGGCCTCCGTAGTAAAGTTCCCGCTCCCTCTGTAGATAAAAACGTCTCATTCTAAAGTAACCAAACAACAATTCTTGTTTTCAGGTGATTATACACATATGAAAACATACATATAATTATTATATCCCATTTCTGCCCATAGATCCTCCTAAATGCTACACACTGGACCTTTAGTCTGTCCTTTAGTTATCGAAAGTATGGTTCTTATCATTTTTAATTATAAGCAGCTCTGTAGTGAAGCAACTGATGAAATACAGGTCAGACTCAAGCAGCCAGAAATATTAAAATATAGTCCAAGTTCAAATTGGACACGCATATGTTTGAGGGTTAATTAATTCTTTGTCGGTCTTATTTCTCACATTGTCCGCTGCAGAAACAAGTCCTTCGCTGCGCTGCGTAATGTCTCCTGTGGCACCACGTCGGACGAGGCATATTAGTGCACCGGTGGCAGATAGCAGAAACAGGACGTACTGTACTCTGCTGCCGCTGTCAGTAAGCGATAGCAAGGCGAGAGCGCTGCATGACCACGGGGATGCAGGCCTTCACGGCACTGTAACTAATATTTCCCAATTACCCAGAGCCACAGGAAAAAAAATGCTGCAAAATGGGTCTTCACGTAGGAGCCCGGTCTTTCATGTAGCTCTGAAACGCATCACTATCCATCATCACTGTACTTCTGACTGACAGCAGAGCCTGACAACCTCTGTGAGCAGCTACACAGAAAAAAAAAATAAAAACAGCCAATATTTAGTTATGTGCATAATATGGGAAGGCACTTTTATTACCTTATACAGGTTTAACAGTGGGGATTTTAATACTGTACATTACGTAACAGGAATGTAAAATACGTTATTTTAATATCCTATTATAAGAAGTCTGTCTCAAGTAAATTTCTAAAATTCTAAAGTGAATTTTATGGTCACAAATAAGTCATCAGAACGTGCCGCTGTCACACTGAAGAGCATGAAAAGTGAACTTTAACTTTGAATTTTCCCTCATTAATCGTTCTCTCCTTATATTTAAATTTAACTTCTTGTGTGTGAAACTGAGATGACAGACTTTCACAAATCAAATCTAAATTGAGCCGGCCCCTGGAGGCAACACCACACCATTAACAAACTGTGTCTAAAAATAAGTGAATAGGACAGCACAGAGTAAGAAAGGACCAATTTAGGTCTACTTTGTCAACACAACTTCTATGTCAGAACAGAATTTCTTTGTCAGTACACAGTAACAATAAAACTACTAATCTGTCTGCATGACAATTTATCAAACAGACAGCAATCTTATCGTGACTGCATTACCTAGGTAACACCTCAGGAGTGAGAAATTCAAATCATACAAGTGCACATCTGTCAGTAGCAAAAGGGAAAATACGCAGCAATAACTATCAGGTATCAGCGAGGGTAGCAAAGTCATGACCCGCCCCACTCTGAAGAAGGGTTTCGGTCAGTGCTTCAACTGGAACATGAAAGGTGTCAGTAACCTTTTTTAATCCTTTTAACAAGGACATCTTTAGTGCTGTTTTCTTAGCAGTAAGCTAGCTATGTGTTTATACAGAGACGCAGGCACGCAGGCGTTTACCTCACCAGCATTACTGCATGCAGGGTTTTAGAAATACCAAGGTCCAAAAACTGAACTTGCTAGGGTGGGTTTGGGGCATCAAAGCATCAAAGTAGTGATTTTAAAACTATTATTTCCTGACTTTTATTGTCTACCCCTAAAAAAATGCCTCAGGAGGCTAAAAATCTGACGTTGTTTGGACTCAGTACTTGTGAGCACCTGCCCATTTCAGGCAGTGGTTTTGGTACTCAGTACTGGCCAGTAAGCAAAATTCAGGTTTTGAAATTGGTATCGGGAAGGAAGAAATTATACAAGAACATCTTTACTTGTATCAACAGTGACTCAAAAAAGGCGATAGCATCTAGTTTCTACTGCTTTAACCCAGAAATCAGCTTCCTGCAAGCATGAGTCTTACAAAATCTGAGCTACTTCTATTACTGTCTCCTCCAGAGCGCCACATATGCCTCTAATCAACAGTAAACAGAGTCGAGATCTGAACAACTAAGTTACAACATAACAGGCTTTACTTGGTCTCATTTTGAAAAACAAATCAAGCTTTCGTGGAGTGAGCTTCGTTCCCGGGACTCAACTTGCAATATCTATCTGTTGGGTTGATCACAGTTAACCATTATAACAAACTCCCTGAAATTAAAGTGCATCTCTTACCGAGCTGACACAGGAAACTACTGTAGTGGTGCCTTATAGAAAATCATTGGTCTGCAAGCTGAAGCAAACACGTCCATTTATCTTCCCACTGGCTCGGGCACTTTTCATTTTGCCGGTGCTCTCAATGCTCAAGTATGACATTTAAGTAAAAGTCACTGAAGTATTAAAAATCGAGGTGCCCATGTTTGGCTCTCATTAAAGACAGAAGCCCGGGTTACAGTGGAGTAAATTAGTATTCCCCACCATGATGCTGCGTATGTCAGGGGAAGGGCGGCTCACGTTGAAGAAACAATCCTGCTGTTTGCACAGCCGCCACGTAAACCTCCACATCACATCACAGAGGTAAGAAAGGCTGAGACAAGATGCTGATGCAAGGACAGCGCTACGTTAGTCTCTCTCTCTCTCTCTCTCTTTGTGACTTTAGCCAAAGTCGTCTTCTAATCAACTTTCAAATCATCAATGTGAAGGTTATAGTAACACCTTTCCACAGTGGAGCAGATAAACCAGCCCCCCATCAACATTCCTGTCAGTGGCTGCAGGTCAGGCTGATACGATACCCATGGCCTTATTCCAAGCCTGCCTTACTGCTGCTGCCACGTCAATTTCAGTCCAGGAGGAAGTCAATGCCCTCCAAGAGTGCCTCTACGACAGCAGGAGAGATGCTTTTTAATTGTCTGCAAAAGGTGCAGGACAGACAGTGTGCAATCACAATCACAGTGTGCAACAGTTTATCATCTGTGAAGAGACGGTAAGTGATTTTAAAACTATCGTTCTGTAACTTGATGGACTCGTTTACAGTTTTTTTTTGTTTTGTTGCTATTTAGCTCCTTGAACGTATGAAGAAAGAGCCATCAGTTCAAACTGTTTGCCCTCGGTTGATTTAGTTTTTTGCTCCGCTTTCCAAGGAAGAGTAACTACTGGTTATCAGACATCAACATCTGTCCCTTCACACCCATAAT